GCTCTTGTGAGTTTGTCCTTTGCAACTTCCTGGTGCTCACTGTCTTGGCACCACTTCCTTACTGTTCCTCAGCTGTCTTTCTTCACCCATTCCAAATAAAATCTTACCTTCCTGGGGCGGGGATTTAGCTCAGTGGTTTCGCCACCTGCTGCGCAAGCACAGGGACCCGAGTTCGATCCCTGGTACCAAAAAAAAAAATCTTACCTTCCTACCCATGGTGTTTCCTGTCTCTCTTCCCTGCTGTATTTTCTTCTATAACCATATATGTTTTGTTTTTGTTTTTTGAGACAGGGTCTCACTATGTAGTTCAGACTGGCCTTGAACTCACTATGGAGCCTAGGTTGGCCTCAAACTCGCAGTGATCCTCCTACCTTAGCGTCCTGAGTGCTAGGATTATAGGTATCTGCCACACTTCCATACCATTTAGTACCTCCTAAAGACATTTAATTGTCCCCTGCATTTGGCTCCCTCAAATTGAATAGAAGCTTCATGGAAGCCCAGGTCCTTTGATTCTCTGCTGTGTCCCCAGGGCCTGGAGCCACACAGCAGAGCAGCCCTTGGTTAATATCTGCAGAGTGAGGTCCCTGTCGCAACTAGTTGCAGTGATGGAGTACATGCAGTTTGTCCCCGTTTGTCGTGCTCATCTTGACAGCACACACACTGTGGTCAGTGTGTCCTCTGTGAGGAGCCCGACCTGTCAGCACTATGGCATTCAGAACTCACTCTTCCTGTAGGTAGAAGCAGCGAAAAAAGCCTATCACGCAGCCTGCAAAGAGGAGAAATTGGCCATCTCCCGCGAAGCCAACAGCAAGTCAGATCCATCACTCAACCCAGAACAGCTCAAGAAATTGCAAGATAAAATAGAAAAATGCAAGCAAGATGTTTTGAAGGTAAATCATACACTTGTTTTTGCATGTTAAGTATCAGTATAGCACTTGTTATGTGTCTGGCATATAGTAAACCTTTTGCAACTGCTTATCTCGATGGGCAGGTGGAAGGATATGAAGAAAACACATCCTTGCCCTCTGGGCCACAAAGCCAGCACCTTAGCCCCTGATGTTGTCACAGCCATTGCACCTGCCTCAGAGCCAAGAGCTGGGGAGGTAGGGGAACGGCCAAACCTGTGCTCAGGGGAGCAAGGTGCTATGTGCGGCTCCCCAGGGACCCTCGAAGGAAGCTTGGGTTGCTGCAAGAAGGAGCTGCTTGTACAGGACACTAGGTGGGAATGTCCATCAATAGCAGAGCGAAGTGATGTATAAGCTAAGATGAAAGATTATGAGGACCCAGCAGCCTTTACAGCCAGGCAAAAGAGTATTGTGCAGTGCTGCTGGGGAGGACAGAGATGTGCAGGGTCAGAGAGAGGGCTGCAGACAGACTAGTGGAGCGGATGACTGGCTGAAGGGCAGGTCTGGGGACCCACAGAGAAGTGAGGGCCAAGAAAGGATGGAGCTATTCTGCAGCCATGCCAGTGCCAGGCCCCAAGCACTGGGGCAGAGGGTGGCAGGAAAGTGGCTTTTAGCCCTAAAGAGACAGTGTGCAGGCCATGTGGCATCCTGAGTGCCCTTCTGTTACTGTGGTGAATGAGATCTATCTCTGTAGTTGTGAGATCAAATAAATTGATTTTGTAAAAACACTTTGTAAACTGAGGTACCCCACGGATATGGGTTGTAATTCTACCTGGAAGTTCTCAGTATCACAAGAGCTAGAACTAAAGTTCTGAGAAAGTGAGAGACCTGGAGGTGTGCCACCTGCACTGTTATGTGGCAGGCAGCAGGGACTGAGGGTGCCCTGTGTGAGGCCTGACCCCTGCTGATGCTGTCAGCCCAGACCTAGGTTGACATCTGGAGCTTAAGCAAGTCAGATAGAGCTATCCTCCACAGACCAGGCAAGTGGGAGTCCTGAGCTGACTCACAACCATCTGGCAACCTCTCCAGGCCTCAGATGAACGTCACCATGCCCCTGTGAAGAAGGCAGTGGCATCCCTACTTTGTGAATGAGGAGACCAACATTAGAGAGGTTAAACCACATGCTGCCCCATAGTGTGAGAGTGCAAATTCTGCCCCAGAGCTGGTGCGCTTCTCCACTGTCCCCCTCCTATGTTGTTGGATGGTGGAGGGCAGGCGCAGGCGTGTACTCCCACACACACCCCATTTCCAGGGCTGGGGCCGGGAATCTGGGGATTTGGGGGTACCCAAGTGCCTAGCTTGTGGGATTAAGTAAAGGAAGACCTTGGGCTGACCTGCTGGCAGGGGGCACCTGGTTTCAAAAAGTATAAGTCTGAGGTCTTTTCTAGTATCCCAGGGAGGCAGGTGCCCCCAAAGGTGCCTAGAAGAAAGACGAACCATCTCCATAATGGACATGGCTGTGTGCCACAGAGGGAGAGACAGAGAGGGGAGCCTTGGATGTATCATGGCCATCTAGGACAAACACCATCAAAATGGTGCTTTTGAATAACACTCCAGGGTATAAGGTAGTCAGACAGGAAGTATCTGTCAGGACGACCTACACACTTCGTAGAGGGCTACCTCCTTGAGGCCTCTGTGCCCCTGTGGTCTACCAGTGACCTGGGGCCCTGAGTGTTCTGATAGCTGTGGAGTCCTGGACAGGAGGGCACAAGTGGACTCCTGTGGACTCCTGGCAGGAGTCCTTCCTGCAGCGCTTCTGAAAGCCAGTGCTGGTTGGCTGCTATAGACTTTCATGTTTCTTACTGGCCAGGCAGGGACTGCATCAGAGAAAGTTTTTGCATTCATGTCAAAAGACAACAGTCCTCGGAGGATGCAGGCCACCTCTGTCAGTTGATGAAGGTTCTCTGAGATCTTTGTTCATCCTCTGTGTGATGACCCTGCTCAGATGACCCTGCTCAGTACCTGGCCTACACTGTGTCTCAGGGCAGAGCTGGGGCTCCCACGTGAGCGTCAGGGTAGTGGGCCTGGGGCAGTACTGATAATGCTACTGAATAACCACCAGGGCCATGGAGCTTTGTCCAGGCTGGGCAGGGGACTTTTCCTTTGCTCATGGAGAAGGCCAGCACGGGCATCTGAGAGGGCACAGAGGGCAGCAAGAACCACAGATTCAGGAGAGGGCCAGGTGCAAGGGTGGGGCCCCAGGGAATGGTAAGATCACCCTCAAGCTGGGGAGGCTTCAAGAAGAGGGGGCTCTGGGTCACCCAAAGGATGTTCTGTGGCCTTAGCAGGGTGTATGGAGAGGACTCAGAGTCCTCGGGGAACAGAGAACCTCAGGGAGGGCCTGGTCTTTCCTCAGAAGGCCCTGCATGTGTGTCAGGGAGAACGCACAGTTCTTGGGTGGATCCCCAACTGCTCACTCATTTCTTAGGGTCTTATAGTGGAAAGCCTTGTAATAAAGAGGTGACCCCAGCCCTCCTGTCATCCCAGGAGGCTGCCACAGCAGACAAAAAACCACCTGGCCTGCTGAGCAGTGGGCTGCCATGGCGCAGAGGGAAAGATGCCCAGAAGTCTGTGTCACCAACCTGGGGCACGTCCTGTCAGGCGCTCACTTCAGCCACTTCTTAGAAATCTTCATGTATTTTCAAGCAGTCCCTGGACTCTATTGAGACAGGCCATATTGCTCTTCATATTTCCTGTCTCATAAAAGCCTTCTTGAGGACAGTTTGGGAAACAGCAGCAAGGTGTCCTGGAGGACAAAGATGAGGACTTTGCTAATGCCTGCTTCATGTAGCTGTGTGCCTTTTGTTTAAATCTCTGAATTTTCTGATAAGGAAAGTGAAGCTTCAAAAAATAAGAGATCACGCTGGGATTCAGGCCCAGCCCCACCTGGCACTTACAGCCATGACCTTGCTTCTGAGGTGACTCTTTAAACCACTCCTGCTGAAGCAGGTATGAGGTGCAGAGTGGCTCAGCACAGCTCTCCACAGGCACAGAGGGTACAGCAGTGTGACAAGCTCGGCATTGTGTACACAGAGTTCCACCCCTCTCCTGTGTCTCCCTGTCTGGCCTCTCTCAGTAGGTGGCAGCAGTTGGTCCCCTCTGCAGAAGCACAGGGACTGAGCCTCAAAGTCTGTCTGACTCCAGAGCTCTTGTTTTGGGTTTGGAATCACACCAGGAGGAGCTGAGAAGCCATAGGGCAAGTGGGTGAAGTAGGGGGGAATGGACCTGAACTTCTGTCTCTGCCTGGATTGCACATAGACCAAGGACAAGTATGAGAAGGCCCTGAAGGAACTGGACCAGAGCACCCCCCAGTACATGGAGAACATGGAGCAGGTATTTGAGCAGTGCCAGCAGTTTGAGGAAAAGCGACTGCGCTTCTTCCGGGAGGTTCTCCTGGAGGTTCAGAAGCACCTGGACCTGTCAAACACAGCCAGGTAAGATTCTCTATGATGTCAGAGGCAAATTGCTGTTCAGTGACACTCAGATGGTGCGCTGCAGGCCTCAGTTACATTTTGCCAGAGGTCTCCCCGTACTGCAGTGCTGAGGCCACCTGTCTCAGTGCATCGCAGCCAGCTGGGGTGGTAGGCTGTAGCCTGGAGAAAGCCTGGTAGGCCAGCTGGCTGCTGCCTAGGCAGATATGGTGGAGATTGTGCTGCCAGCTCTGCCTGTGGGTCTGGGCAGGAAGTGGGTACCACGAGCTCTAAACACAGCTAGGAGCAGTCACAGCCAGGGGATCTGAAATCCACCTGGGCGAGGGAGAGTGCCATGCCCCAGGAGTCCTAATCCTTGCCACCAGCCTGGCCTTGACTTCTCAGGGGTTCTAGGCCCCAGGTGAAGCACAGGCCCTGTGAGACTCAGCTTGACATTGTGACACAGGAGCCATGTTCTCTCTTCTGTGCTATCCTCAGCTTTGGTCCCAAGATGCCTGTATGAGGCCAGAGGTCCATACTGACAGGGGCACAGACAGACGTCTGCATCTGAAGTCCATGTGGCAGAACCATTGAAAAATGAATCTCAGGTTAAGACCTATTGTTAATGGGACATTACACTCCCTTTGTTGTCATCTTTATAAAAGAAATGAAAAGCACTAATTATCACACAGCTACTCTGCCACCATTCATTTAATGTTTATGACATCCCTGTAAAGGAGGCCACATTGTTCCTATTGATGAGGAGACTGAGGCTGGGTGATGTTCAGTGGCCTACGTGCTGCTGCCCAGCTGGCCAGGGACAGGGCTGGGACTGTGGCCAGCTCTTCTGTGTGTGGTGGCCCCTCTGCTGTGTGTAGGTATACTTGTCTAGGGCTAGGGACCTACCCTGTACCAGGTGACGTAGTTGCTTCCTAGAGCTGCCATACCAGAATCCCAGTATCTGGGCACCTCTAAACTACAGACATTTCCTCTTCACAGTTCTGGAGGCCAGAAATCCAAAATCAGGGAGTGGGCTGGGCCATGCTCCCTCTGAAGGCTCCAGGGTCAGTCCTTCTTGCCTCTTCCAGCTCCTGGTATCTGCTGCAGTCCTCCACTTCCTCAGCTTGTGGCCACCCCAGTCCCCTGGCCATCTCTCCCTGTGTGTGTGTCTTGTCCAGATTTCTTCTATCTTCCTGCCTGCCTGCCTTCATTCATCCCTATTTATTTTGGTACTGGGATTGAACCCAGGTCCCTTGTACTGAGCTATGTCTCCACCCTACCCACTTTTTTCCTGTTGCGGTCTTCTAAGTTGCCTAGGCTAGCCCTAGGCTGGAGGGGTTGAGACTTCTGACACTGCAAATGTCTCTTCTTTGACTCTGCCTGACCCAGAGGGACACATGGTGGTGCTCACGTGGTCCACACGCAACCTCAGAGGCATAGCAGAGCTACTGATCATCTGTACATGCAACTGCCAGATGATCTTCAGGGAGGGGGTCCTGTTCTATGTCTGGGGAGTAGATGGGTGTGGGCTGCAGAGACCATGGGGCCTGTGATTGGTGACACCAGGCTAGGACAAATGTTAGCTGGTCTCTGCCACCCACAAAGCCATGGTTCTTCTTCTGATTTAGCTACAAAACCATTTACCATGACTTGGAACAGAGCATCAAAGCAGCTGATGCGGTGGAGGACCTGAGGTGGTTCCGAGCCAATCACGGGCCAGGCATGGCCATGAACTGGCCACAGTTTGAGGTAAGAGGAAGCGCTGCACCCATGAGCCCTGTGTCCCAGGTGAGCTGTGCATCCTAGCCTGTGTTTCAGCATTTGCCCTGTTATTGGGCAGCCTTTGTCCATAGCTGAGGTATTAACAGGGGGAGTGTGCACAGCAAGCTTTGCCTAAGGCCTCCTGAATCTCTAGGGAAGGTGCAAGTATGTGCTTCCTACTGAGGAACATCAACTGTCACTTGCTGATCTTTGGCATTCCCTTCCCTATGTCCTAGCAGCAAGTTCCTGGAGCTTGGGGTCCCCCCACCAGGTGGCCAAGAAGGAGCAGCCCAGTGCCCCAGGTCTCATGGAGCTGAGGGAGGTGGTGTTCCTCACACTTCCATTGGGGGCTTTTTGGTACCTCAAGCAGAAAATCCAGTGAATCTTGATTTAGGACAAGCTGTCCCCTTTTCCCATTTGGTGAATCTGACCTTTAGGATTGAGGGTCTGAGGATGTTGGAATTTGTCCAGCCTAGAGTTGGATCACCAGGCCCCATATGGCCCTCTGACCACAGGGTAGAAGTCAGTGGCCAGGGGTCTTGCCACCGGTTCCTACAGGATGGAGTCTCCCCTCCTTGTGACTGGCTGAGCATGTGGTGTTGGTTGCCCCCTTGAGCCATGGGAAGGGCTCTACAGGGCTGTGCCCAATGCTTTCCCCAGGAACGGCCCGGGGCTGGCCCCCTCTGCCTGAGGCATGGCCTTGTGGAGTCACTGGACTTGAGGGTGGATCCTGCTCCTGACTCCTGAATCAGCAGCTAGGGGATGTGAGCAAATCCCTTGTCATTTATATGGCTCATTTTTCATGGTATAAAATGGGAGTGACACCCACAGGTTGGGCCAGGTCAATGGCCTGGTCCATGCCGAGTTATCAGCCCAGCCCTGGACCCTCAGTAGTAACTGTGCTGCTGCCAGAGTCCCCTACACAGCTCCTCAGCCCCTTCTCTGCCTGTAGTATTACTCCTCACTCTTGCACTTGTGTTTTCTGGACCTCACAAGGTCTGCAGGGGGCACCGTGATTCCCTGAAGCTCAGCATGCCCAGTGCTGCCCAGCAGGGGGCGTGGAGCAGGCAGCACTCCTTCCACTGTCCCAGCCTTTCCTCCCTGGGACACATGCAGGGAAGGAGTGTGCTCAGCCGGAATATTGGGCACCACTGAGATTTCAGCCTGTGGGTGTTCACTGGGATCCTAAATGTGAAATTTCCCAGGGTCCCTCAGAGGTGTCTGTCAGTGCCCAGCGAGGGGAACTGTAAGAAAGAATAGCTGACAGGCTGTCTCCCTGGAGGGAAAGTCCTGGCTAGAGCCCCAGGTTCCTTGTCTCTGGATCATTGGCAGAAACCAGTACCCGTGTGTCCCTTCTGCACACTTTTGCTGATGATTCGAGATCATACCTGACTTTCTGTAATCAAATTATTTGTTTTTATTTTCCATGCCACCAGGATGAAGTAAGTATCTGTTTTATGGCTAACTCCTGGGTGTCCTCGCCCCACGCTGAGTGTGTAGGATGGTCCCTGTTTTGTAGCAGAGCAGCGACACAGCTGTCAGGGTTGTCAGTGAAAGGCAGCCCTTCCATCCACTGTGGCTGGTGCTGGGCCCATCAGTCCCTGGAAGCCCCCTGGTCAGGTGGCATAGTACTCAAAGGTCACTGAGAGAGGAATTATTAGACAAGCTGACCTGGATTTGGAGTCAGGGGCCCAGACCTCCCACCCAGAGTACATGAGCCAGCCCCTTTTTCCTTCTGGGCCTTAGTTTCCTCATCCGACAAATTGATAAGATTCAACTTAATGTGTCTAAATAAGTGGCTCTCACCTTGAGGGTCTGTTATAAGTAGGAGCAGAGCTGCGGACAGAGGAATACTAGGTTTCAATTAAGTTGTCTGATCAGTGAGAAGGGAGGGAAGGAGAATCCATTAAAAGTCCATGAACACAGCATGTCCGTGCACCAGTGCACATGCGTGGGGAATCAGGACCTTGTCTCTGTTGCCCTCTGTGTTTCAGCGCAGTTGCTAAAAGCCTGTTCTATTGGGAAAATGGCAGAGCTTTGGGGAGATAAACCAGTGCTCTGCTTGGCTAGTGCCTAGCTTGTCACTCAGGTTAAAAAGGAAAGGCTCTAGGGGAAAGTGATCAGAGCCCCCACGTATGCTGTTTTGGTCGTGTCAGAGCCACCCAGTCCCTGGTGTTCTTTGCAGTCCAGGGTTCAGTTTTCTAAGGGCTCAGGTCCCTATAGCCCAGTGTCACCCTCGTGACCAGGACTTAGGGCATACGTGGCAGACTTTAGGATAGGACTCTGTGCCCCAGCCAGGCTTCCCAGCATGCAGGCTCCTGTCAGCTTCAGAGCCTTCAGGATACCTGGTGAGGCTGCTGGAATTCATCCAGGCCTGAAGGAGCTGCAAGCCAAGCGCCATGGTCTCCAGGGGTGGGACTCAGAGACACCTGGACCAGAGCACAGGACACTGAGCATTAGCCCTGGTTCTGTTGTGGCCCCATGTCCTGGGAAATCCGCTTGTCTCAGGAGGCAGAGCTGCCACAGGTGTAGACCTTGGGGTTGTCCAGGTGCCGAACTCCAGGCCTGCTGAGGAGTCCCCCCTTTGAACTGTGAGGAGGGGTTCAGGTGGCTTGGGTCCATGGTTGGGTAGAGAGGAGCCCAAGGTCTGCTGGGAAAGCAGGGAGCACAGAGGCCACAAGTCTCAGGCCTCTAAGTGCCGGGGCAGATGACCAGCTTCCTGGGTAGGCATTTCAGACCTCCGACACCCACCCAGTGAACATCCTGACGCCTCTCCCTCGACCCTTGTTGCCTAGGAGTGGTCGGCAGACCTGAATCGAACTCTCAGCCGGAGGGAGAAAAAGAAGGCTGGTGACGGTGTGACCTTGACAGGCATCAGCCAGACAGCTGACCAGGCCGTGCCGAACAAAGCCAGCAGGTGAGCACTGGGCGCAGCCTCCGTCCAGAGGGCGTGGGCCTTGCTGGGGAGGGCCCTCTGGGTCGTCTGCTTGGGCCCAAAGATCCCTGGGCCCCTGCACTCTGATTTTGGCCCAAGGGTGCCTCTCAAGTTCCTCTCTCTGCCTGGTGCCACAGCTGCTCAAGATTAGAGAGGTAGCCTTTGCCACAGGCCAGCCTGGGGCCTGAGAGAGAGAGGCGCCAGGATTAGGGCTGCACAGTCATGGCCTCATGGTGCCACACTGTGTGGGCAGAGCTGGGCATAGGTGCTGCCGGGCTGGGTGCTTCCTGGGTCCCATGCTGTGTGTAGTGCTGGTCAGCTGGGGGGACAGGGGTGCAGAGCCATCAGATGCCCCTTTTCAGATCACCCCCTCACTAACCGACTGGCTTATTTCTGACTCAGTTGTCCAAATGTGAGTTGTGGGTAGGAGGGGTGGCACTGTCCTCCTTAGAACCTTCTGGAAAGTGTGTGCTGCAGCAGGCCTTCCATGATTGGTCATGGCCTCCTGGTGACAGGACTTCCCAGAAAGGCTCAGCCCAGGCTCCCGAGGCATCTTGTAGCTGCAGACACTAAGCCTCCGGCCTCCCAGGACACACATGGCAGGCGATAGTTCAGCTGTTGGGCACATGGTCGGGACAGGGCTTTTCAGACACACTGCCTTTCTATGGGCCAAGCAGGCTGCTCCTGAGGCCTCCCAGGTCCCTCTAACATTGCAGTGTTTCTGTATTTGCATGGTGGATGGTCAGGTGTGGAATGCCAGCCTCCCCCAGGCCTGGCCTCAAAAATAGGAGGCTGTTCATCTGCCCAGAGTTCCTTCTGGGGCATCAGTCTTCTTACTATACCATCTTGCCATGGCCCCTCTACTGCTTCATGCCCTGTGTCCCTTTCTCTCAAGCCATGGCTCCCAGCCTCTCCCTGGTTTCCACCAGCCTGGCACCCAAGAGATGGCTGCTGGAGTCGTGAGGATGGACTGACTCTCCAGAACACAGATGGGCCCTGCTCTTCCCTGGAGAGGGCCGCCAGCGAGCCTTGGCCCTGAGTTCAGAAGCTCCTGACCCAGGGAGCTCAGGAGCCCAATGCTGAACCCTTTGGTACCTAAAGGAGGAGATCGGTGCTATGTGCCTAGAGCACCTGGGCGCTGGCTTTTACTAAGGCTCGGCCCCCCGCAGGACAGAGAGCAGGGGAATATGCAGAAGCTTCGAGCTGGGGGCCCCTCGGGTGCCTACAGTGGCACCACCCCACCGCAGGGCCCCTTCCCTTACTGACACCTCCAGACATAAGAAAGGAAAATGAGCTGCTTCTCTGTGGCTGCCTGAAACACGCTGAAAAGCCTTAAGTGTGGCAACGTGTCCTGCAGGACTCACATGTGTTCACAACACAGACTCCCCTCCACTCAGACAGGAGCTGTGGTCCTTGAATGTGCTGGTGCTGTTACGCTGCAGCTGGGCGTCCCCAGGACCCTCACCGTGGCTGAGCTGGGGTCCCTGAAAGCTCTCTCTCTCCCTGTAGCAACCTTAGTGTCCCGAGCAACCCTGTCCAGCCTGCCCAGTCACAGTCCAGCTACAACCCCTTCGAGGACGAGGACGACACGGGCAGCACCATCAGCGAGAAGGAGGACATTAAGACCAAAAAGTTGGTGAACCCATGCTTCCCTCTGACTTCCTCCTCACTCGCTCTGCATCTCCCTCTCTCTGTCCAAGGTTCTCTCTCAGGGTCTTATCCTGCCCCACCCTCAAGCGCTCTGGCAGAACTCGCAAGAGAGTACACGCTGATGCCCACCATGGAGCACTCTGGCTTCTACACTTCTCAGGGAGGGCACAGCTAGCGCTCTGGTACTGTTTCTCTGTGCGAGGATGCACACACCCTGTAGGTGCTGCTGTGCGGTGTCCTGCTGTGCTGGGATGAGTGTGATGGCATGAGCTCTCCCAGGCCCTGGTGCCCCTCAGGCTCTCCGCCAGGAGGAGGAGCCCTCAACCCAGGGCTCTTGGACCTGCTCCACTAAGGCAGGGGCTCTGGGAAGGGCCTCCTGTCCTCTGCCACCCTTGTGCTCAGGGTCGTGTCCACTCCTTCATTGCAGTGTGAGCAGCTATGAGAAGACCCAGAGCTACCCCGCTGACTGGTCTGACGATGAGTCCAACAACCCCTTCTCTTCCACGGATGCCAACGGCGACTCCAACCCATTTGATGAGGACACCGCCTCAGGGACAGAAGTGCGGGTCCGGGCCCTGTACGACTATGAGGGGCAGGAGCACGATGAGCTGAGCTTCAAGGCTGGTAGGTGGCCTCCTCAGCAATCCCTGAAGGATGAGGGCTTCCAGGCTGCTGAGACTGGGCTCTCTTCATTCTCAAAATGTGATAAAATTCTGGAAGTTTCTCACGTGGGTCCACTCTGTGACACCTTCTCTCTTGGTTTCAAAACAGGTCCCCAGTGCCAAAACGCACAGCATGGCAAGGTGCCCTTGTGCCTTAACTAGGACACATGCCCTTGGTGGCAGAAGCTAGGCACAGCAGGGCACTGGTTAGTCAGGCTGCGGGGACACTGTTGGCCATGACCACCAGGCTCCTCCCACATGCTGAGAGTAGCCACCTGCAGATCCCTGAGGGAAGCCTTTCTTCTCCGTCTGTACAGGAGCCCTCAGGAGAGCTATGACCACTGGTGACTCCTCAGGGCAGGCCTGGCCTTGTATGAGGCAACATCTGTCAGACATCCCTTCTGCAGCCACAGTGTGCAGATGTTTGCACACAAAACTTTCTCCATCCTGGTTGTGTGTGCTCTCCTGGGGAGGTTTCCTATCCTGTGTCTTGTTTTTGAAAAACTTAATCAGTTTTCCAGGAAAGAGCTTCTAGCCTCAGTTGGGCTGCCTTAACACCTGTCTGAGAGGGATGGAGAGGCTAGACCAAAGTGGGCCCACAGGAGCTACAGTTCCTTCTATGGCTGTGGCCACTCTACAGAGCTGCCCAGAACTACCATCCACCCCTCCAAGAAGAGGGAAGCTGGGCCTGAGCTTAGTGATACAGACTAGTGCTGCCCACCCCAGCTTGTCCCTCTGCTCTCAGGGCCAGCCAGCTGCCCTGACACTGTCCCCAGGGTTGACCATCAGGGGCCTCTGGCAACTGGAGATTTTTTTCCCTATACTAGGGCTCAATCCCAGTGCCTTGCACATCCTAGGCAAGTGCTATGGCATGAGTGCCTCCCCTAGACATGTTTTATGTGCCTTTAAACTGTTTTCCCCCAGGTTTCTGATATGCAGCTTGCTGTTGTGACCCCTGCTGTGTTGATTTCTTTCTAATTTAAGAGCACATCTCACCTATTCAGCCTGACTGAAATGTTATAGATTTCAAATCTTTCATCCACTTGCAGGCCAGGCCTGCAGCCTTACAGCCTCTGCAAGCCACATGCTCCAGGGTCACCATGACAGAGCTGCTCCTTTAGTCCTGAGAGGCCACTAAGACGAGGGCTGCAGCTTGGCACATCATCCAGTGGGGAGATAATCAGGCACTTGCCCCACCCTGGGCAGAATCCCTGCTGCTTCACCAGGGACACAGACCCTCCAAGGGCCTAGCAGCACTTGCCATGCGGGGCTCACAAAGGCAAATGGCTCGGGCACCTGTGGCCAGCATCACCTGGCCTCTGACTTAGACCTGCTCCTCTTTGTCTTGCAGGTGATGAGCTGACCAAGATAGAGGACGAGGATGAGCAAGGCTGGTGCAAGGGACGCTTGGACAGTGGGCAGGTCGGCTTGTACCCCGCTAACTATGTGGAGGCCATCCAGTGACGAGCCATGGGCAGGCCAGCAGAGAGAGGGAGAGGCCGGCCCTGGAGCTCCTTCAGCCTCGGCCCAGGCTGCGGTGGTTTCTGCAGCCCTTGGGGCATCCACTCTACCTGCACAAGACGCTGGCCCCCTTGTGCCTGCTTCCGGGTGTGCTTGGAGGGCAGAGGAGCTGGTCCTTGCACCCAGGACTCAGCCCTTTCCAAGTGCATCCGGGAGCTCTGCACAGGAAGACAGTGCAGGAGAGGAGCTGGCCCTCCCACCCCCAGCTCTGTGCAGCCGGGTCTGTATGTTCTCAACCTCACCTCCTCCTGAGTCTGTGTGGGTGGAGCTCATTCTTCTTCCACTGATTGTTGTCTCTCACCAGTCTCATCCCTACTAGTTAAGTAAACAAACCATACACCATTTTCTGAGTGAAGATTTTGAAGATTTTAATTTAAAGGCTATGTACAGTTATACTGTTTTACACACCTGCTCTGCTATCCTCTGCACATAAGTTATGGCACAGATTGCTCCGACCCGGCTCCAGGATATGATAGCACCATTGCTGTTCATCAGCCTGGCCACTGCCTGGGGCAAGGTGCAAGGGCCACAGATCCTGTGGACAGGTGATGCCCAAGGCAAGAGGCCACGCAGAATGTGGGGCACACAACAAAGGGGTTTCGATGATGAATGGGCTGCGGAGGAAACCTCACACAGGACTCCCCAAAGTTGCCATCTGCCAAAATGAGTTTCATGCTATTCCTGCTTAAAACTCAACTGTTTTGCAGATTCACTATTTTATCAGTGATTTGAAAGGTTAAATAAGGCTAACTTTTCAAGTAGATGCTTCTGTGGATTAAGATGCTCTATATCAGGCTGTATATATTATTTGCTATTTGGAGAATCTAAACAGATTTAAGGCCTCCGACTGTGTGGAGATCTGTGAAATGCTGTCTTCGAGGTCATCACAGGCTTTGCTGTCACCAGTGTTCTTTGTGAGTAAACAGAGGCAGGTGTGACCGCAGCACAGTCCCACCGAGCACCCTCAGTCCTCAGTGCAATGGGGTGACCTGAAGAACCTAAGGCAGGAAGGGCCTTTACTGTGTTAGCTGGGACAGTGGTATTCTCTGCCACTGTTGTAAGCTGTGCTGCTTTCTACTGAGTGTCCACAGGGAGCTCCACTCTTCCTTGAAAGTGCATGAGTCAGGGACTATCACAAAAATTCCTAGCAGAAGTCCCTGTTCCTGTGCTACAGATATACCAACAGCTGTCTCATCTTTTAAATTTAGTAGTTCCTTTAAGTGTATTGCCTTTGAACAAAATCAATAAATAGTTGATCTCAGGTGTGCGAAAGGCCCTTGCTGTGTGTCTGCCCTCACACTTCCAGCAGTGGGGAGATGCGTCGTCATTCCCAGAGTCACCGGCCTTGGACCTGAGCAAGGTCCATGTCCCCTGCCCCTCCAAACCAGAGGGAAGTTGTGGGCCCTGAGCACATTGTTTGACCTGGTCTCCCCCATGGGATGGGGCTCCCTACCCGTCATAGCAGCAGAATATGATCCATGACCCCTGAGCCTGTAGCTCTCCCTGGAACGTCTCAGTGAGTACCTACTGGGTCCTGGACTTTGAGCTCCACTCTACTTCTGTTACCTGCAGAGCACTCTTCTCCAGGCATCACTGCACCAGGCCAAGTCTCCCTCTTCTGTTTTACAGAGGGGGAGCCAAGCCCCCCCAAAGCCATGTCTGCCCAAGGATCCCAGCTATTGAGAGACACCCAGCCTAATCCTGGAGGGCTCTACAGCCCTGGGTAGTCTGAAGAGGGGAGGGACAGGTGAGGGCTGCCATGGCCACACTCACCAAGTTCATTAGGCCACCTTGAAGAGCACCTCTGGGCACAGAGCATCTCTGAGGAACTGGCAGGAGTGAGGTGTGCACAGCTGCCCCTGCCACATCTGCCCACGTTCGGCCAGGGCAGAGGAAGCAAGCATCTTGGTCATCCAGTCTCCTTGTCACAGGGGTGCTAGGTCTCCTGCTCTGAGCAGGAACGGAGCCCATCAGTCAGCTGCCCAGCGTGGACACCGGCTCCTGACTCTAATAGCCTTGGGCTGCAGAGAGCAGTGAGGTGGGCTAGGCAGAAGGCCCCTGCAGGTGCCATTTATTGAGGACCTACTGCATGTCAGACTCTGGTGCCAGGACAAAGATGAAGAGCCACTATTTCCCTTGGGGAGCTGTAGTGGGCTCAGAAAGGGACCTGAGTCATTCTAACACCAGGACAGGAGAGGCTGGAGGGCCTGCTAAAAGTGTACTTGGGGGATCCTGGAGGTCCCTAAGAAACACAGGCCTCCCTGCAGCAGGACCTAAAGGGGTAGCATTCTACCTGCCCTACTTGTCCCTGAGCCATTTCACTACTTCCAGGGGAGAGGGTAGCCAGTCCTCGCCCAGGCAGGAGGCCTGGCTAGCCTGGGTTGGGCCTCAGCTCTAGCAGGTGTCTGAACCATGGTGGAACAGCCAAGTCGAATGACTCTAGGGTGTCCAGAAGCCCAGAGACCTTGCCAGGCAGTCTTCCTGGCCCATAGGTGCCTTATAAGCTACCTTTTCCCCACTTCTGCCAAGCCCTCTTCAGGCTGCCTCCCCCTATTCCCCAGGCCCACTCTGGCCTCACCCTCCTTCAAGGAAGTAAAGCTGTATGCCTTCCCTGTGTTCCCCAGACACTGCAGGAGACTTGTGCCTGTTTCTGGGCCTTAGTGTCCTCATAGATGGGCAGTGACCTTGGGTCTGGCCCCTGGGAAGAAGCAGCACCTGTGTTTTGGGCCCCAGAAGAAAGCACTACCAGTGCCCTGCAGTGGAAGAGGCAGGCCAAGCTGAAGGTCACCCAGCCTGCAGATGAAGTTACCAAGCTTATTCCCAGCCAAGAGTGGCCACCTCCCACCACAGGGTCAAGGAATCACTGCTATGATAGAAATGTTTGTATCCCTCAAAACCCGTGCTGAAATCCTCACCCTAATAGTGATGACATGTAGCAACTAGGACCTTTGGACTGTGCTTAGGTTGGAGGGAGAAGCCCTCATGGCTGGGATTAGTGGCCTTATCCAAGGAGAGCTCTTGTTTGTCCCTTCGCCATGTGAGGACACAGCTAAAAAGTGCCTTCTCTGGGGAAGCAGCTCTCATCAGACATGAAAATTGCCTGCTCTGTGTTCTTGGACTTTCAGCCTCCAGGACTCCAACAAATTTCTTTTTTCTTGTACCAGGGATCAAACTCAGGACCTTGCACTTGCGAGGCAGGTGCCGGGACCACTGAGCTAAATCCCCAGCCCCCCAACAAATTTCTGTTAAGAAAAGAGAAAGAAACTAAATGTAAAACAAAAAATAAAATTATTTGTTGTGTATAAACTTCCCAGTCCGTGCTATTTTGTCAGAGCGGCTAGACTGACTGAGACTCCCCAGCATTGTTGGGGGCTTCTCAGCCTGCTGTCTCCAAGCACACTTGGACTTGGTGTTCATTCTTATGCCAGGCCCTGTGCTCAGCACTTGCCACCACATATGAACACCAAGTCATGGGTGAGGGACCTGAAACCTGAGAGGTGGGGTGACTTGTGACTTCCATCAGCCCACATACCACACTGGGCAGAGCTGGATCGGCCCTCAGGTGTCCCAGCTCCAGAGCAGCCCCTGACTCCCAGTTCCTCTATTGTCTCAGCGGTGGCTCTCAGTCCCCTGTTTATCATTTGCAACTCAGCTCACGGGGCTGCCTTCCCAGTTGCTGAGTGATGAGGTATGTTAGCTTTATATTGCCATGACAAAATACCTGAGAAAATTCACATAAAGGAGGAAAGGTTTGTTTTGACTCATGGTTTCAAATTCTCGGTCCAATGCCGCTTGCCTCCTTTGCTTCTGGGCCCATGGAGAAGCAGAACTTCATGTTGGGGAGCATGTGGAGGTGGCAGAGGGGTTCCACCTCATGATGAACAGGAGGCACAGAGAGAAAGGGCCTGGGGACTCATCCTTCCAGAGTGCAACCAGCACCACCTTGGACCACCACCAGAAAAGGACAATAGCCCAATGACTTACTTCGTCCAAGTAGGCCCCAGTTCCAGTATCCCATTAAGGTGAATTGTTCAGTGAGTTAGTCTTTTAATGAGGTGAGAACCTTCATGAACCTTCATTTCCCAAAACATTGCTGCATTGCTTGGCACATGGTAGAGGTAAGGTGTTCACCTCAGAACATCCAGGTGGAAAGAGCCTGAGCAGAGAGAGGAAGGAGCTGAGGACTGGACAAACGCTTCAAAGTCACAACCCCAGTGATCTGCTTCCTCCAAGGTGGACCCCTCCTCCTAATAGCCCATTCAACCATAAACTCATCAGTGGGTTAATCTCATACGAGGTTAGCGCACTCATGATCCAGTTCCTTATCAGAAGCCCCATCTCTGACTACATGAGACTTGCGGGGGATATTTTAGATCTAAACTTGAACATTCAATCCCTGGCCCCAGAAAAGCTCACAGCCATCTCATTGTACAAAATGCGGTCTCTAAGAGTTGCTAAAGTCTCAACCATTCCAGCCTTTCTCAAAAGTCCAAGTCCAAAGTCCCTTTTGAGACTCAAAGCAATTCTTAGCTATGAGCCTCTGTAAAAATAGAAAAGCAAAGCCAGGTATGGTGACACACACCCATAATCCCAGCACTCAGAAGGCTGGGGCAAAAGAATCACGAGTTTGCTGCCAGCCTGGGCTACATAGTTCAAAACAAGCCTGAATTACATAGTGAGACCCTCAAAAAACCAAAACCAAACAAACGAAGAAAAAATAAGAAAAAATCAAAAAGCAAGTTACAGCATGGCATGGTAGTATGCACTTACAATCCCAGCACTCTGGGAGGCTGAGACTGGAGGATGGCAAGTTTGAGCCCAGTCTGGGCTTTGTAGTGACTAAATGAGACCCTGTCTCAAAATACAAAAAAAAAAAGGTCTAGAAATGCGGCTGGGAGGAGGGGAGCAGACAAGTTACATACTCCAAAGATACTAAAGCCCAGGGTAAACATGCTCATTCCAAAAGGGCAGACTAAACAAATAGGAATAGGACCAAAGTGACCCCCAAATCCAGCAGCATAAACATTAAATTCTGTAGCTCCATGACCAGTATCTGGAGCGTGGGAGGTGAGATATGAGCTCAAAGGCTTGAGTGGTCCCACTCTTTCTGCTGGTCACAGCCACATGGGCTATCTTGGTACTGGTTCTTCTTGCTGCCTGTAGCATACCTTGGCAGATGTTCCATGTTCCTGTCATTTGCAGCTTCAGCCTCAGTCCCACAGCTCCATGTATCCCTGCCTCAGGGGCTCGTGACAGTGACTCCAGACCAGTGATACATTGCCTGGCCTCCTAGGCCTTCCTGTGAAATCTGGATGGAAGACTTCATGACTCAACAACTTTTGTATTCTGCATGCCTCCAGAATCACCACATGGACAACACCAAGATCTCCAGCCAGCTCAAGCAGTAGATAGGCCCCTTTGGGCCATGGCTGCAGCAAACACCGAGTACCTGTAGAGCTGAACTCTGGGAAATACTTTCCTGGGAAGCAAAACACCCTATGTCTCCCCTCAAAGAGGTTTTCAAAGCAATTTACACTTTTATAATCTTTTTTTTTACACTTTTATAATCTTGAGCCAGGATAGGTAAGGTCTGTTAGTTTCTGAGATGCCCTGACAACATCTTTCCTATTGCCCTGGTGCAAAGTACTTGGTTTTCTTCTCCCAGTACTGGAAAATGAAGTCAAGGCCTTTCTACTGAGGTATATCCCCACTCTTTGTTATTATTTTTCATTTTGAAACAAAGACTAAGTCACCGAACTGCCCAGGTTGGGCTTCAACTTTCAGTCCTCCTGCCTGAGCTTCCCAGAGAACAGGCATTACAGGTACCATCAAGCTTGGCTTGGACTCTTTTTAATAGTACTAATCTCTCCAGCAACCTAAGTTCTTTGGCCACAACCTTATATCTTCTTCTTTCTGGCCAAACTGAAAGGTTCCCGCTGTGCTTTTTGATCTCAGCTTTTACTGTAAATGTGGCTAAAAGTCAGCAATATCCATGCCATACCTGGAATGGTGCAATACCTCAAATATTTCTCCACCATTAATTATTCCAGTAACTTTAAATTCAGCCTCACACAAAATCTGAGGGCATGGACAAAATGCATGCCAGTGTTTTTGCTAGCCTAAACGTGAATTCCCAGTAGAGTCCTTATTCCAATCTGAAACATAATGAACACCATCTTTTGAGTGTACATTTTGGTCAGCACTCTGGTCTTCTGAGACCCAGCCAGAATTTCCCAGTAAACTGCTTACATCCTTCTATGCTTTCCC